TTAGACCAACAAAGGGTTGTCATCATCATCCAAAACACAAAGTAGGGAAATGCCCTTACACCAGCGGTACTACGGCGGTAGTACTCCCCCACTACCAATGTCTTCTCTGTAGCCCAGAAGGATTAGCGGAAGTAGGGTAGTAGTAGGGCGGTAGTACCGGTTGAGCGGTACTTCCATTTTCCACTACCGCACACAGTACCACTTATTTAAGTGCTTATGTAACCCACTTCCTCCCCACTATAGTAGAGTGGTAGTGGGGCGCGGTAGTACCGCTTGCTGCGGTACTTCCATCCTACTCACCCTCTACTACCGTTGGTTCTCTGTGTCCTGAGACACTCAATGGTAGTACCGCTTCAGTAGCACTATGCTCATGTACGCTTGTACTCTCAGTGCTACACCTGGAACTACCGTACCAAGCAGTAGTATAGCTCTTCAGGCCTGTATGTGTTGTATCTTGTGCTTGCTAGTGAGCTTGTTATTGTGCTTGTCATATAGGTTGTCCACCTAGTTGCATATCTAGACAACCTATTTTATTATCGAGCCTAATTTGTTAAAAAGAGCTAAACTTTGGTAGTTGCCTATTCTCCCCCCATACACACACATCTAGTCAACCATAGCGATCCTTTCACACTCCATGTTATAACAATTGACTTCTGACGATATGATGTCAAAGTATAACAAACAAGTTTGGGTTAATTCAATATGATCGTTCTTCCAATGTCATGTACTCAATGTTGTTTTAGGACTATCATTACACTTAACGATATCCTAAGATCCAAAAAACATAATTACCAACAACACTTGAACTAGCCTTAGAGATAAGACTAGGAACCTAATTTTACCGTTTACCATTCTACACATGCATATGAGTTTTCCACTGAATCACATATTCCAGGATCATAATAGTTATAGCATAGAATATAAACTATCAATTATGAACATGGAAATATAATAATACAATATTAATGCCTCCAGGGCATATTTTCAACATTAACGCAATAGGCAAGATGACACAATGTAGACAAGAAGAAATCTAGCAATAAGATCAAACCCCATCGTTTTACCCAGAGTGGCAACAATACAAATATGTGTCTTGCCCCCATTTTATAATTGGGATATAGAACATCGCAAGATTGTACCCACTATTATGCACCACTCCCTCTGAAAATCTACCAATCAATCTTGGCCAAAGAAGACAAATAGATGAGAAAGCATACATATCAACTTAATTATACAACAAAGAAACTTCAAAAGATTCAATATGATTCAGTGAACAATCTGATCATAAACTCATAGTTCATCATGTCCCACCAAACACACCGCAAAAATTACATAAGATTGGTGCCAATCACACAAGGAAGAAGGGGAACATGGTATGAAGATCCAAAGTGAGTGAGAGAGAGATCTAGCTACTACTATGGACCCATAAGTCCCGAAGGAACTACTCACACATGCTCGTGGAGGCAGCAAGGTTGATGAAGCGACCTCCTCAATGGCTTCCCCCTCCGGCAGAACTCTGGGACATGGTTGCAGATGGGATCTCTTCGAAACAGAGGCTTACGACGGTGATAAAATTTTCCTAGAGGAACGATGGATGGTTTTGGTATTTATAGGATTTTATGGCGGTGAAATCTGGTCAAGGTGGTAACCGGGGCCCACAAGCCCAGGTGGCGCCCCCCCTGTGCACATCACTTGCCCTTGTGGCTGCCTGGTGGGTGGACGCTTCCTGAACCTTTTAGTATTTCTTGTGGCCCAAAAAATCGTGTTGAATCGGCAATGTATTTTGACCTCTGTAGATATTGATATCCTGTGAAACCAAAAACAAGTAGAAAACAAGAACTGACACTTGGCACTAAATTAACAAGTTAGTCAAAAAATTGCTATAAAAAGTATATGAAAATGATAACATAATAGCATTTAACAATAAAAAATTATAGATACGTTTGAGAGGTACCAGTCGCCGAGATTCGCGACCAGGGACTGGTGACAGGGATGTGAAAGAGGAGGGAGGAGGTGGGGACGAGTCGGACCTTGTGGTGGCCACTGAGCTCCCTTGTAGTCGTCGCCGAGTCACCGCCTTTGTTCGCTTCATCTTCCTTTTTTCTCGTGGACGCCAGGGGTAAGGCTAGCGGAGGGGTTTGTTTTGCGGGAAGAGAGCATTTCAGTGAAAATCGGAGCGGGAGGGCTCCATACCGTGCAAGGGAACTTTACATGCGAGCGAATATGAGGCCGAATTTAGCTTTTGTTTCCATAAGGGTTTTTTTTGAGCGAGGGCAAGCAGGAATTTCTTGTCCAACCAAACAACGGAATTTGCTGCTAGGGAATACCAAATGGCGAATGATAGGCGCCGGCGCACTGGCCCAAAGTTTCGGCCGGTCGCGGGTACGCCATATGATTCGACTATTTTAATTCGTCTGATCGTCCATGCAGGTCGTTTCTTTTCTCTTCTCTGCGCTGGTGGTCCACCTATACTGCACGGAAATTGCTTGCCCCATGTACATCAGCGCCATGCCGTGGGGTTGCATGCTGTCACGTGGGAGGAGATCATCCAAATGATGATGTGACTTCTCCAAACTATCTGCACACAATAGTTTCATTTAAAAATGTACACAGAGAATCTGCACTTATTTTTAAACTCTATTTGTATGTAGCATTGCAGCAAAACTCCACAACAAAAACCAAAAAAACACAAATCAAAACAAAAAAACCATATGTTTGTAGCATAATTTCAGTACTTTTACAACAACAAAAAACATATGAAGCATTGTACAAAAAGCTGACAACAAAAAATGAAAAAACTATGGAAGCAAAATCGCTATGTGTTTCCAGCATATTTTCTAGTATAAATTTACAAATAAAAATTCGCTCATGTAGCAGTTCGTTGGGCCATTGCAGCTTTCACGGAAGCGCGAGCCTCCATGAAGCTTTTTTCTATCGCCAGTTGAAGCTTTTTGCATCTACAATTAAAGCTTTTTTTTGTCAACAGTTGCAGATTTTTTCGTTGCACAGTGTCTTGGTTGAAGCTTTTACATAAGCTTTCTCTATCAACGGTTGAAGCTTTTTTGGTTGCACAGTGTCCTGGTTGAAGCTTTTGCATCTACAGCTGAAGCTTTTTTTGTCAACGGTTTCACCTTTTTTTCTCAGTACCTGGTTGAAGCCTTTTTCATCTACAAAAAAGTCGGCCGATTGTAGCAAAAGAGGGTATCAGTTCGAGGGAAAAAAAGCTCACTGGCGCCGCCTGTCGCCGCCATTGTAGCGAAAAATGTTAACCGATTGTAGCTTCCGTGGCTGTCAGTTGCAAAAAAAAACGACGCGGTTGTAGCAAAGAAAATTTGACGTCGGCCGGCCGCTGTGTACGGTGGTAGCAAACCATGTCGCCAGTGGTAGCAAATACTTCACGGTTTGCAGCAAAAAATAATCGATGTAGCCTGCTGTCGAGGTCGCATCATCTTCACGAATGATGTAGCAAAAAAATATTGGTCGCCCGTAGTAGCAAACGGAGTGACTAGCAAAACAAAACACTGATTCCAGCAACAAAAATTGGCGACAAATCCAATAGTTAGTTCCAGCAAAAAAGTTTATCAGTTGTAGCATCCTCGCCACCGTATGTAGCATTTCCCATGGACGGTTGTAGCACTCCATAAAGAAAAAAGCGGAGCTGTGTATGAGCACATCCATGACGACGCTGTCCACAGCACTGCCTCGCCATGGTTGTAGCACGCACACGCCCAACGCCGGTGACAAGGACGTGGTTGCAGCAATGGCATGTGGCTGCCACCGGCTTGCCGGTCAGCGAGAAGG